TTTTGTATTGAATCACTTTTGACATCATCGAAGAATAGAAGAAGTTTCCAAATATGTCATTTGGCGCAGAATTGAATGGGCTACATCTTTTAGAATATGACTAATATTGTATTAATAATTAAGAAAATAAAGCTTCGAGTAGAAGATTCATAACTATGAAAAGCAGTGCATTTTGTAGTGCAGAGTTTGTTCTATCGAATGAGAAGTGGTGGCTTTCTTTTCTGATAAGATGATATTCTTGAGATACAAGCTCGTAGAAAATAGTTTAGTCAAAATAAGGCACAAAATAGCTAGAAACTATCGGTGAAATTACTGATAAAAATTGGAAATATGATTTTGCTTGAAGATTGCATTGTTAAAAAAGGCTCCTAGATTTCGTTCTACAGAACAAACTCTGCACTACAAAATGCATTGCTTTTCATAGTTATGAATCTTCTACTTGAAGCTTTATTTTCCTAATTATTAATACAGTATTAGTTACATTCTAAAAAATGTAGCTCATTCAATTCTGCACCAAATGATATATTTCGAAATTTTTTCTATTCTTCGATGATGTTAAAAGTGATTCAATACAAAAAGTACCTTAAACTTTTGATCGCTGAATAAAAATAGTTTCTATCATAAAAACTGAATAGATTTAATGTTAGAGCTTTCAATATGATAGGTTTGTAGCTCTTTCCAAGAGCTATGAAAATCACTATTTAGATGTTTATTACAAGTTATGTTTGATGGAGAAAAATGAAAAACAGATAAGTACCTTAAACTTTTAATTTCCATTTTAAAGGAACATGTTCATCAGAAAAAAAAGATTTAAAACCTGATCCATTGGGTCTAACAAATGTTGGTGGAATTTTTGTTGTACTTTTTGGTAAAAAATTAATTCATCTATTTTTATACGTATTTTTTTTTCTCGTTTTTACTTGTTTCATATTCAGGCGGTGTCATTCTTTCATTATTTATTGCTATTTTGGAATTTTTATGGCATGCACGAAAAAATCATGCAAATCGACGAGTATGTGTATTTATAGATTTCCAAATTAGAATATAAATTAAATATTTGTTCTTCCCGTCTATTCTTGAGTAGTCATAAAAATAATTCTTTTTATCATTGATTACTGAAAACATAATAATAACAATAAGAAAATAATTTATTTTTTAGCATTCTGTTTGGTGGGAATTAATCAAAGAAATTCGTTTTTCAATTCAATGTGGTGCTCCAAATCGTAAAGCACTTGGTACTCGTCGTTGTTCACAATGTGTACATGATCATCATGGTACAGAATTAAATTCAATACCTCGTCAACATCGTCGTCGTTCATGTAATAGTCATTCATCATCAATAGGATCAATTAATTATGAACCAACATTAAAACCATCAAAAAATCGTACAAGCATAGAACAAACATCTGATCTAGATAAATTTGATAATGCACTTATGGTTACTAGTGAACAAAAAAATCATTCTAATACATGTAATAAAGAACAATTATATTCATCTAAATCATCAAGAAGAAAATCTATTCCATTAATAATTGTTGAACAACAACCATCATCAAATCATATACAACAAAATATTCGATCTCAACATGTACGATTTCTTAAAAATACAGGTATATTTTATTTTTAGTATAAGTAACAGTGAAGAAATAAAAAAAAAAAAATGATCAAATATTGTCTTGTTGATTTTGTTTTTTTTCTTCTATCTATAGATTCATCTCCAAGAGAAAGTCTAAAGATTCATCATGATGAAGATGATACAAGTGATTCTAATGATGTTAACATACCATTAAATTCGACTTCATCAATGAATTCTCGTCTTCCTTTACATGTGTCTCGATTGTGATTTTTATCAATGTATCTGTTTGTGTATGTATGTTTCAATTGTTATTTGTCTTCGTTCTATTCGATTTTTTTTTTTCGTTTGTATGAATAAAAATCATAGAAACCAAAAAAAGAAACATGTTTAACCGATTTGTTGTGGTTTTTGTTTTTCATGTAAACAATCTATAAATTAAATAGAGAAATTTCGTGCGTCATAACCTTTGTTTGTCGTTTAATGTTTTGACAACAGGTTGTATCATTTCTACGTCTCGTGTTTCATTAGATCAACAAAAAAAAGTCTCTTGTTATTCTTTCATGCTCTTTCAATTGCAACAGTAAATAAAAATCCACCCCGTATATACGTATATATGTAGGAAGACATAAAGAAAAACAAAATTTGCCACTGAATAAATACTGTTGCACATTATACTTTTCATGTATTATTATTATTATTGAAAGTATTAGAACAAATGTCACGGTCATCATATCGTCGAAATTTAAATCCAATAGCACTATCAAATTTTAATAAACCTCTACCGCAATCAAATCTCATGTTTCAATGGTCTATATCGGCTGCTCATTCACCTTTGTTAGAAGATAATTCGTCAGTTATACTTCCTCCAATTGATACTACTCGATCTCAAAGAAAAGTTTCCACTGATTCTTCTTCGTTAATACGTAAGTGTATATCAATTACAATTGCAAAAAAATAAAACGTGTATATATAGTTTAGAAATAGATTTGAATAAAATTGATTAAAATAAATTTTCATTTCAATTTGTTATTATCGAAAAAATATTATTTTCTCTCTAATATTTTAAATTACTTGTACACACTTCATGAGAACTACTATAAAAGATATTCAAATAATCTATGAATATATTCACTTAAGAATTTCAATTAATATCTATTTTATATTATATATTTAGGTGTATGTTCACCCAGTCATTCTTCGATATCTACACAAAATTTCTTACATCTACCTTGTATTAACAAGAAATCCCATTCACCAGTATCAACTGAACATGAACAAAGTTCTACACGAAGCAGTCCATTATTACTAAGTTATAATCAATTACATCGAGGATCATCTTCTTCGCCAGTAAAACAACCGACACAAACCAGTCTTTCTACTCATTCAATATCTGATAAGAAACGAAACAGTGTTTCATTCCATCCAATATCCCATAACACACAAAACAATGTTTCTATCCATCCAATATCCGATAACACACACAACAGTGTTTCTATTCATCCAACATCTGATACGGAACGAAATAATGTTTCTATTCATCCAATATCTAATAAGAAACGAAATAATATTTCCTCTGTGAACAATAAATTAAATTCTATATCGAAAACAACAATGTCATCAAAGACTACAGCACCTTTATTATCAACAATATCTGAACAACGTAAATTAAATAATAATTTAGTACGATTGAATACATCACAATTACGTCGATTAAATGTATCGGAAAAGTACATAAATGAAGCAAAAAAACTTTATTTTAATATACCTTGTAGAAGTTTTGTACCACGTGTTGCAATTGTATAAATTTGTTAAAAGAAATAAATTATTAAATTTATTTAAAAACAAAAAAAAAATAAATAAATAAAATTAATTTTTAATAATTATATGTTGTCATCAAATTCATTGTTTTTACCAGATATTGTTCGTATAGTTGACATAGTAGTAGCTGTTGAAGCTTTTGATAATGCAGTTAAAGAATTTAGAACACTACTACTACTAGTAGTATTATTTGTATTATTTATTGTTATACTTTCTGGTCGTTGACGTAATTCTTCATCAATTTTTATAATAGGTAAATATATATTTGTATTAATTACTTGACATTGTTTTTCTATAAATGGTTTTATATATTTTAAAAGTGTCGTTTCTGTCATGGAATTATGATCTTCATTACGTAATAAAATTAATTTATTTCCTTCAGTATTTAAACAAGCTTTATATAAAATATCTGAATGATTTGATGGTATAAGTGTATCATTTAAACCATGTATAAAAAGTATTGGACATTTTATATGTTTCATTGTTTCAAGATTATCCCATGAACGACTATTAACTAATAATGAAAGAATTCCAACTTTTTCTCGTACTAAATTATAAATAGATGTATAAGGAGATTGTAATATTAATGCACCAATTGATTGAGTTGATGCAAGATAACATGCTGTACCACTACCAATTGATTGTCCATATATAATTATTCTTTCAATTGGCCAATGAAGAATATTATGAATAAAATTTATTGTTCGATTAGCATGATTATTAATTGTTTGTTGATTTGGTGATTGTGATGGACATAATCCATATGATGGATATTCAAAACTTATTATATATACATTTAAGTGTTTACTAAATTCACTTAAAGTATATTCCATTGTACCAATATCACAACCGTTTCCATGACAAAATATCATAAAAAATTCAATTTTTTTATCTGAATTTTCTGGTGAATAAAACATACATGGTATTGATAATTCATTAATTGAATCAGAAGGTAACCAAAATAAATTATTTCGATGTGATGTTAATGTATAATGCGGTGGTTTTGGTGCTGGAAAAAGAATTTTGTTTAATAACATCTAAAATATTTGAAACAAAAAAAGATCATCTGAAAACGATTCTTAACAAGAAAAGAACCAATTTTAGATTCCAGAAAAAAAAATATAATACAAAAAAACAAATAATATTCGACAACATTATGATGTCGAACAAGATGAACAACATGAAGAACATGAATAACGAAAAAAACTAGCTAAACGTGACGGAGATTCTTCATTTGTCGATCGATCATGTTGTACAAGAGGAGAAGATTCATTTGTTACAATTGAACTACCAATCATTGGTTCAATAATTACTACTTGTTCATCAGATGTAGATGTTTGTTCAACATTTTTATCATCGATTTGTACAGATGAAAGTATAACATTATTATCGATTTCTACAGATTTTTTTATTTCATCATTTATATTATTTGACGGAGGATGAAATGAATCTGAATCATCGTTAACTAAATATAACAAAATAAACATTTATATTTTTATCTTATATTCAATAATAAATTGAATTCGATTTGAATTATTTTAATATTTATTAACTTACATAAATGTTGTTCATGAAATATTTCATAATATCCATCTTGTTGTTTTTTCATCATATTACATAAATGAATTGATCGAAAATTTTCTATACCAAAATGATGATCAGTATATTTTGTATCCCAACATTGATCAATTTTTTTTACACCTTTATATAGAAATAAAAAAGACAAAAAAAAAGAATATTTTCATATTATTATTCATAATAAATAATATTAAACCTTTTCGATGTAAATCACGTGCTTTTGAAAGTTTAAATAATGTTAAATGTGGATTAAATGAACGAACATCTGTTGACATAATACCATTTTTTTCATAAGTTTCTCGACATATTTCTTTAAATAAATAAATAAATAGAAAAAATTTTTCAATATCAAAATAATAGAAGAAAATATTATACCAGCAATACGTGCAAGTACATCAAGATGAGTATCTTTGACTGGATTCATATAAAGTACTTTATTATTAAAATGAGAAAGACCAATAAATGTTATCTGTGGTGGTGGTAATTTAGCCAATGAAACTTGATGATATACATCAATAAGACTTTGTCGAGCTCTAAATAAGAAATTATAAAATAGAATAATTGACAAATATCAAAAGAAAAATCTTAATATAATCTATTTAACTTAATTTATTTCGTTAAGATTACATCTACATTTATTAAATCACTACATATGTACTATATAAGATAAATACAAACAGAAATATATCGATTGAATATATGTCATGCTGAAGTTAAACTAATATTTAATTTTTATCATAAGGTTAAAATGACATAATTCGTTCTCTTGTTGATGAAATCGACCTTTAAAGTGTAATGTTCTCATTTCAAAAAGTCAGAATTTATTTTATTTACTAATTTTATTATATTTTATATTTATTTGTATATCAAATCTATGGAAATGAAACTACTGGGTTGTTTTAATAAAAGAATATATTAAGTTGACATAGGAAATTTATTGAGATTATGATTAGTAGATAAGAAATTGACTATTAAATATGACCTAAGAAAATAATAGGGTTTTTGAAGTGAGTTTTTAATTTATTAAATTTCTCTATATATCAACAGTTACCTTTCGATAGTATATAGTACATCGTAACTACACGCTGATCTTCATTTTTTCTATTAGGCGATCAAACAAATGTTGATAGTTTAATAAAATCTTGCAAGTTATAGAAAAAAAAGCAGAACTCTGTGAAGCTTGTGATTGTCAATTTTTCTTAATAATATCTACATTATTTATTTATTCTTATAATGTACATTACTAAAATAAAAACTTAACTATAACTATATATTTTGTTTAATCAATTGATTATTATTTGTTGTTTAGTTGATTTCAATAACTTTGATAAGCATGTTAATATCGGCATGACATGCAAAACAATGTAAAACTAAATCCATACCCACACAAAAGAAAAAGAACAAAAAAACAACATACATAGTCATGTAAATAATATAACAAATCATTTTCGGGATATCTAAGAAGCCAATTAATAATTATCATTTTCCGCATATGTCTTCTATTTACTGAATACGGTTGAATTTTGAAAAAACGTTTTTCTAATTCGAAATGAAACTCATGTGTTGAGAATGAGTGCCTGACTTTAATCATGAGTAAGACATCGAATGAGAGAAGAACCAGAAGAATTTACCGTGACAACTAAACAATTGCAAAGCAATTTATTGGTTGCTGCATTTCTGGCAATCAGTCATCATAAATGTTGACATGAACTACAGATATTTTTAGTTTTGTATTATAGTGCAACAATCATAGATCATCCAAATGATCAACAAATAAATAAATTTCATATATAATTTTATTCTAATTTCAAAAAAGAATTATATCAAATTATTTATGAAGAATAAAACACTTAATATATATAAACCTCTAATTGCGTAATAGAAGCTTTTGGGATTTCTAAAATGTCTAAGTATTCAAAAACTTTACGGGAGACTATTCACACGACTTGGATGTGAATATTACCGATCAGAAGACTTACACAACCAATACTAATTTAATAACATCTGCAAAATTTTGCTCGAAAAACTGAAATTGTCTAGACGTCTTTTACATTGATTTCTTTGTAGAGACGGGAATCTTCTATTTCGGAGAATAATTTTTTTTTAATCATGTTGAACTGTAAGCTATAAAATTAAACATTTAGTTCGCCTTTTCTATTAATAACCTCTCTTTTCTAAATTTTACCTATAATTATAATTGATAAATCATCATATCTAAAAATAGAATATTATAAACTATACCTTAAACCAAATAACCGTATTAAAAAATTGTACTCAATATCCTTTTTCATTAATAACTATCATTGATATTTACAAAAACAAAAAAGATCAATGACTCATTAATTAACAATAATAATATATTGAATCAAAAGCCAATTAAAATCTACAACTACTGACGTCGTATTAGATCAATATCACTATACAACTGACACGTGTCAGCTTTTCTCATGTATATATATATATATATACTCAATGATAAACTGTGCTTATTCATTACTTTTTTTTTTTACTCGTACCATTTATCTGTGTATTAATTGCATACAAAATATAATGTCGTATATATTACTTTTATTATTATTATTATTTGGTTCAAGTGTAATGATTTTTGGTGAACCTCCATTGATAACTGATCGTATAATAGAACGTTTAAAAGTTTTAGCTACACAATCATCAATAGAAACATTTGTTGAATTACCTGATGCTGAATCTTATTTAAATAATTATCTTACAAAAAATTCACCACATATAATAAATTTAAATGAACAATTAACAAAAATTATACGTGAATGGAGTCCACGTCTTTTAGCACTTGATCCAACATGTCCATATTATTTTTCAAAATTTAATAATATATCATTACCTGAACAAGATCTTAATCTTCTTTCATATTTACAAGCAAGTAAGTTTATAAAAATCTATATAATTATTATTAAATATAATGATCATTTGTTTTGTTTTTTTTTTTTAAATTTTAGTTGAATCACATGAAACAGTTATTTATCCATTTATTAGTATTTTACCACAATCATATCGTAATGCTATTCCAATTTTATCTATTTTTCATTGTAGAGAATTAATTTATTCAAAATCAAATTCATTTTTTCATAATATTGAACTTATTATTGGTCCTGATCGAACTGAATTACCATTTGAACGACAATCAAATATGTATTCACAATTATATTGTTCACTTTATGGTTGGCCTCATTTTATTCTTATTAATCAAACAAAACAATCAACAATTACATATGATTCACAAACTTTACTTTCACAAGAAAATCTTGCTAATGTTGAATATTTTTTAACAAGTTTAGCACCTGGTAATTGTTTATTTCTTCCACCTGATTGGGTTATAGGTGCTCAACTTAATAATAGTATATCATTACTTTTTACATTAAAAAAAATTGAAAAACTAATTGTAAATGAAACTATTTCTGAATCATTATCATGTACTCATACTGATGCAACAACATTAGATACGGTTAAATTTACTATTTCCGATACATTCAATATTAGTGATATTGGTTTAATAGTTTATTTCTATCAATATCTTAATCCTCCAATATTCGATATAACATATACTCGTGAAACATTTTTGGAACATTTTCGACAAGATAGAAATGTTTCAGAAATAATTATAAAATGGACACCAGAATTAATTGATCTTATTAATAATACACTTTTTAATCAACTTGATATAAATCATGATGAAAAATTTAATGTAGATGATTATTTTGATATTAAACGAACAAGTATACAACAATTACAAAATTCTATTTTGGAAATACTTGAAAAATTACGTCAAACTGTTATTGCACAATATAATGATATAAGTGAAACAATAACAAAATTTTCTCAAACATTTGAAAATATTGGAATGAACGAAAATATGAATGAAGCTCTTGAAGAATTATTACAAACATTACCGGAAACAGTTAAAGCAAAATTCAAAGAAAATAATATTAATTTTGATGATGTTTTAAATCAAGTTAAAAATAAAAGACCTAAACGACCATCTATAAATAAACAAAATGTAAGAGAAGATGATACTTCAATACTTTTTGATAAAGATCTAGATGAAGATATAATATCAACTGATGATCTTGATCAAGAAGAAGAAATTACAGCAGAACCATTTATAGATGAAAATGAACCTTATCATCGTACTGATCTATGATTTTTTTTTTTTTTGTGTTTTGTTTTTTTTTCTAATAATTATTATTCTACTAACCTTTGTTTGTCATCGTCAGTTTTTAATGCAAAAACCATAAGTGTTATATGAAGTGTTGGAATTGATATACTAGCTTTTGATAATAATGGATTTGATTCTATGATTTGTTTTTGAATTTCATTAGCATGATCAATGATCTAAATGAAGATTAAATATTGTTTTTTTTGCTTTCGCAAGTTATTAATCAGAGAATCTTTGTTTTTTTTTTCATATTAATAAAAGTATTCTTCATAAACAACATACAATGTAAAAATCTTTGCAAAGAATGTCAAAAAATCAATTAGAGCATATTGCTAACTTCTAAATTATTAAAATTTGTTTCTTTCTTTCTTGGAAAGAGAAATATGTGAACTACAAATGTTTTACTATACATTTTTCTTTCCAGAACAAATCTTTCGAGCATTAAAAAGATGTGGACGTGTGAGTCTTGTCAATATCGACATTCACATCTTCATCATTAAATGAATTGGTTTCATTCTCTTATGAAATTGAAAAAGAAAAGAATTTATAGAAATTAGAAAATGATATGACTTGATGATGAAATTGTAAGAACGTGTTTAGACGGTAGTGGATTCTTGGCTTTTCACAGTTTTAAGATTCGTTCTAGAAAAAATATGTATAGTAGAGAATTTGTAGGTCACATGGTTGCTCTTTCCAACGGAAAGGAAAACTTTCATTTGTGTAGAAGTTAACGATATACTTAACTTATAAAACGAAGAAAAATCTATAAGGTATAACTTCATGACTATCGAATGCTAAAATCTAGTTTTTTACATTTTCTATAATAATCATGTAGACTTCTTTCCATTTAAGGAACGATACATCAGACGTAATGGAAAACTTCCCTTAATTAATTTCTCACAATATAGAAATTTTAATTAGTATATTTCCAATCCTCGAAATCATCTTGATTTTTTGAAAAACTCTTCTAATTAAAAATTATGAAAATACATGAATCACAATAGAAGATACCACTCTGAAAAATTTCTACGCTTAGACATAATAGAATATCACGGGTCTTCTATTGTGGAGAGAGGTTTAATACCTTTACTATAATCATGATGAATAAAATTCAGTTCCCAAAATATTACGTGGTACTAAAACCGTTAAATTATCAGATAGGTGCGAAAATTTTAAATCTATTTTAAGGAATTTTCACTATTGAAGTGTTGAGATTCAAGATGCCATATATTTCAATGTTTACTCTCAATGTGATTAAATAAAAACAAAGAATGATTTTCTTTGTTTCACATAGGAAACATCAATTCTCGTAGTATAGATCTTCTATAATCTCGAACATTGTTTTAGTTTCAAAAAGATCTATACACATAAAATTTTTGACAATTGTAGATGTTCCCTGAGCATCTCTACTATATTTCAAGAGAAATACTAATCTATTTTAGTTTAAAACATTTTTTTCTAATAGTTTATATATTCTTGATTTATATAATAAACAGAAAATTTTAATTTACCTGTTGATTTGTTATTCTAAAACTTAAGAATGCATTTGGTCGTATAACTTTTTGTCGTTTATCTTTTTTACCTAAAAAAATAAAAATTTATATAACAAATCAAATTTTTCCCATTGAATACTTCTACAAAGTTACGAATGTTTTTCTTTTAACAAACCTTTTTGTCTTATATTTGTTTGTTGTAAAGATTCATCTTGACTATCATCAGTAGTATCTTGTATTTTTACATCATGCTCTGAAACTGATGATGGTCGTTTATTTGATGTAGACTTAAGAATATGTTTTCCTTGAGTTAATATTTTTTTTGTTTGTTTAGATGACGCCATTATGATTATCTACAAATAAGAAGACTCATAGAAACATCTAACTCTTAAATTATCTACGTATATTTCATATGTTTTCTTATGTGCATCGGAAGGAAAAATATTAGTAAGAACTATTATAAAAGTTTTTTTATGTTATTTACATAAGACATAGAAATTAAATATTTACAAACGTTTCTATGAGATACACTTGTATTATTATTATCATTTCATTAACAAAGATTTTATTATTAAATAAATATACTGAAAACTCGTAAAATAAGACATTTGTATATTTTTATTATTATTATAATTCGCTTTTTGAATGACATCAATCACTAATAACTTTTGTTTTAATATGACAACATGTCATAATAAAAACTGTCTTGTGTTAAGAAATAAATTGATAAAAGCAAACAATAAAGAATACACTCTAAAAATATTTTTAATGGAAAAAAATGCATTCTTCAATTTATAGAACATAATTATTATGACAACTATGTTTGTATTTACTCACAACTCATTACACAAAGACATTATGTGCCATTAAAAGAAAGAAAAAAAATAAAATTTCAAACACAGTTCAAGGTCATTGTTTTCCATTACAAAAAACAAAATAAATGCGTTGATATGTAAATAATGTAGCTAGTACTAAAATTATTCAAAAAAGTTTATTTTCAATTATTTTCCGCTGCTATAAATGTTAGAAAGAATCCAAATAGTGATTCAAATAGAGAAAATGGTTCCTAACAAGAATATAAAGAAATAAAAATTGTTATCATATTCGCAGAGATAGGGACTCAGAAAACTAAAATCCTAGTTTTTCAACACTCAAAGTATATAATTTTGTTTAGATTACAAACAAATGATAGAGTAGACTATCCTCAACAACGTGGAATATCGCTGAGTTCTGTGTGATGCTTTTTGACTGAGATACAACAAATCGCTTCAAGATCAAAAAATGGTTTTTCTATAAGAAATTGAAAAAAACCGATTGTATGGATTTTCGTAAGATTGTTGTATCTCAGCTAAAAAAATGTCGTAGAGAACTCAAAGACATCTCGTTTTATAGAAAGCTCTTTGCCATATTGTTCTATGTGGTTTAAACAAAATTATATTTACCCATTCTAGCTGTTGAAAAACTCGCTTTTTGGTTGTCTGGAGTTTCTGTTTTTGGAAACAATTTTCTCTATTTGAACCACAATTTAGATTCTTTCTAACGCTTATAGCAGCGAAAAGAAATTGAAGATAAACTTTGTTAAATAATTTTCGTGCCCACTCTATGTATATACGGCGCTATTGAAAAATATAAAACCAATGCGTTTTTTTTCTACCATACGAGGCAGTCAGCTTAAATCCAAATGGTAATTTGAATAACCAATGAAGTGCTCTATCGAATGCATTTCATACTGACGCCACATAGATGGGCCATGAGAAAAGAATTCTGAAACACCAAACACAATAGTTTTCCAGTTTCAGAAGACTGTATGAAAATTAGTGTTTAAGAATACAACCTTAAAGAACACAAAATCCTGACTAAAAGGAAGGGTTGCTGCATTTCCTACGGCTTTCTTTTAAAAAGTTATAAGCAGTCGCATATCCAGCCATGGATCATTGGTCAATTATCCAAAGCTACCGACGCCTCAAAACAGTTTGGCTGGTGAATTACCTACAAATAAAAACTACTGATTACGCCACTGGTTATAAGTGCCAGAAAAAATAAAAAACAAACGTGAAATTTATAAAAAAACACGCATTTTTTTGTTTTTTGTTATGTTGGTAACTTTTTAAGTGAAGACCGTAGGAAATGTCGCAAGCTCTCTTTTTATTCAAGATTTTGTGTTCTTTAAGATAGTATTCTTAAAAACTAATTTTCAGACAGTCTTCTAGAACCGGAAAACTATCGTGTTTGGTTTTTCAGGATTCTTCTTCTCATAGTCCACTTATATAGTGTCAATATGGAATGTACTCGATAGAGAACTTGATTAGTTATTAAAGTCGCTATTTGAGTTTAAATTAAATACTTTCTATCTTAGAAAAACACTCTTCTAATAATCATTGTCTTTCATTTCGAAAAATGTTCTTCAATTATTCAAATAAATAAAACATATCATTAAGTAGAAACTATCTTTTTCTTTCTTTATGTTCATGAATAAAAACAAAAGCATATAAATATTCACAATACAAATAAGTCTTTTTTTTTTCTCTCTTTCATATTTTATAATCTATACATACAACAAATAACATAAACAAAGATTGGGATTAATACGAAATATTAATAACAAGAAGAAGAGAAACAATGACTTTTAATATAAAATAGAAAACCAAAAGAAAGCAAATAAAAAATATTGCAACTATATGGCTTATCATTATCCAATCCCGTATTCACTGTTTGGAATGAATAATTAACTAAATCAAAACGAACGTTTGTTGTTGTTGTTTTTTTTTTGATTTTGTTATCTAGTATTATTTATACATAATAATATTATTATTAATAAAAGAATATAGTTAAATGATAATCGTTTTGATTGAGAACAAGGATTAATTAATTTAGCTGAATAAATTGAAATAGATGTTTTATCTTCATTATTATTAAATGAACATGTATGACTGTTATTTCGAATTATAATTGAATCACTCATTTGAAAACTCTATTAAAATGAAAGAAAAACAATATAATTAGATTAAAAAAAAAAGAAAAACATACAAGACAATAACTAGCATCTGAATAATTTGATTGAGCGATAAGATAAATCGTTGATAAATCACTGGATTTCCATGATGCAATACATGTATCCATTTGAGTTAATGAACGATATTCAAGATCTAAATTATAAGACAAAATACAAACTCTCATAGTATCAATGAGACATTCTACCGAGTTATTACATTTTTAATAGATATGACAGAAAAAAATAAGAATATGATTAATGATTTTTTTTTCAACTTATATAAGCATATATCATTCCTGAACTTCCGGCTTGGGTCGTTTCTTGTCCGAGAATAGCCGAATCAGAACTTTCCGGTTACAATGAATACTTAAATTTGTATAATTATTTCTTTTCTTATCAATGATTTCATTTGAATATTTACAATCATTTTGATTAGATCTTTTAAATAGTATTTTTAATACTTATATCTCGTATGAATATGCGATCGGTTTTTTTTTTAT